AACCTAAACATTTTCCATAAGGCAGAACCAAGCCCAGCAGCGGGATGTAACTGTGATATTTTCGTGGAGAAAATTGGAATACGATTTTGTTCGAAGGCCTGTGTCGATATGACAAACATGTTTTTGAAATAATTATATAAAAGAATACAAATTTTGATCCCAGAATACGATGCAGGCACACTCTAGCCAGTGTTCCAACAGTAATGACGTGATGAAAGAGGCCTGTAAACAATTAAAAGGAACAAATACAGTCTGTTGGGAAATTGCAAAATGTGTACGGGAATATTGAATACGAAAATGTAATGGTAAAATCGATTTTTCAAATCGAAGCTTGTTCTAAAGTATGTACAAAATCCATGCACGATTAAATCGGCATTGAAAGGTTCGGGCAAAAAACAACGGAGCATTGCGTTTTAGCATCGCCATAAAAATATAAAGAAGGTGTTTGTGAGCTGTTTGCTTTGTCAATTACTCGCGGAGTATTTTTGGATAGGCTTTATTTTTGGAATTTGATCGGACCGTAGTGGGTATTTCTCGTAGTAAATAAGTATTTTATACTACATTAGGTTAGCACTGTTACTATGGAGTTTATCGTTCTAAATGAAAATTTCCGCGACATGTTTCCAAAAAATCACTTCTTTGTTTGTAATAATGTTAATAATGTAATTTAGTAAGAAACTTAAACCAATATTGTTACGTGCGATCCGCGTCCTGCGTTTGCCTATAGGAAATATTTGCGATTGACGTCAAGATCGAGACACACACTCCGAAGACTCAATGTGAACATTAATTGTTAAAGTAATAAGACTGAAATTACCATGAGTAAATTTGTCTGAAGCGACCAGCGCCAAGCACTATTTCCACTAGTAAAAAGGTACGCTGTACTGTGATTGAGACAGTATTATTTAAAGAATAAAAGTTACAAAGATGTACCGCAATCAATTTTCTTTATTTTGAAACATACGAAAACACGACCCGTTTTTTGTCGTTTTTTCCGAACACCATCTCACGGTGAAAAAGCAAAAAGAGGTAAGTGAAAAAAGTAGCGTTCGCGGCAACAATAAATAAATAATAAAACAGGGAAGAATCTCGCGGTGTGGCGCGAAGTGCTCGCGGGAACCACAACCACACGTACAGGTTGATGCCATGGAAGTTTAAGTGTACACCCGCGACACAGGGTTTCCCTAGTGCGAGGCTATGTTGAGTGTGTGCGTTATTTCATTGTGTACATTTCGGAACGTGTGTGAGGTATTAAGTGATAAACTAGTCCGCTTGTCCTATCTATTTGCTGCCAGAAGCGTTTCACAGACCGTCACTCCATCTGGCCAGAGGACGTCCTACACTGCGTTTGCCAAGCCAAAGCACGAGGCCATCCTCATAATAACATATATATAACTATGGACAAAAGTTAAACCCGTAGTAATGTTGAAAATTCCTTTTCGTAACATCCTATATATTGTAACTCACACCCTGTATAACCGCAGTTCTATTTAGTTGAGCGAGGTCTGTGTGGTCGACTTTATTACAGCTTGATTGAAAGCAGTAAGTTAATTACATCTCACCTTATGAAAAAATAATTACAGGATAATAAATTGAAATATGTAATTACATTGTACTTACCAATAACAATTTACTTTGTTTTAGATTCGAATTCGAATTTCATTTTGGCTACACATAAATTGAGTCTATTATGACGTAGGCCGTAAGCCGTTATGATGTAGGCCGATTTTTAAATAGACTCGTCTCCGCCTACGAAGTGCATAACTTTATTTATGAATAATAAGTAAATGTATCTATTTTGGAGTATCTTACTGCCTTTAAACACTCTGGTGTCAGCTATAAAACTAGACAATGCTACTGTTGGTGGTTAATTAGTTCCGAGCTTCTGTTTATTGTGTGCGTTCGGCTGCCGCTGACTCACGGGTCAAGTTGCGTCCGTTGGTTTTATTCCTGATTTATTTTTTTTAGATTAGGTACATTAGATGTTGACTCGAAGCCAGATATCTAGTATTTGTGTTTTTGCTTAATCTCCGAGAACAGACACATACGTCCCTACGTTCAATTTAGTCAAGTTAAAGGAAGGTACAGTCACGAGACACTTCAGGCAACCTTTGGATTCACTTGGATCCTTTGCATTGGAGGTAGCCCTGGTAAACCTTTCGTTTCGTTTTGCATCCTTTCGTTTCTCTAATATTAATCAATATTTTCATACAAGCTCCCCCATTCTTCTTACTACGCACTCCAGGTTTCTTAAGAACATTCTCGAAACATACTCGATGGCTAATTGGCTAACTTCTGACTAACTGAACAAAAAAAAGTGAAAGAATGAGGTCATCATTGTATGTAGTTATTTAACCTAATTTTAAAGAAGCAGTTTTGCTTCTTTAACAACCCAAATTATTTCAATGGATCATCCAATCACAGAACTCTTCAAGTTGTGCTTTTCATCAAATTATTTGACTACGCAATTGAAATTTAACACCCTGATCCATATTCTTCGAATCATCCGTGTTCGTCTTTTGATTTACTGAACCCACACACAATACCGACCCGTAGTATTTGCACAGCGAGCAAACTGCTTTATCTAAATACGCCGCCGACCTCAAACACTGCCTTCGTCTTCGTCTCGGCGAGAACTCCAAATAACATCTCATATGTATTTCCTACATTCATGTTGTATGTCGACTTCTAAGTTTGGTTACGTTTAGAACTGACTTATTTGTAGAATCTAGTTTGTTTTTGCTGAGTGCACACCTAAATAAAATACATCGAACTTCGGAAGATGTTAGATGTTTCGTCCGAAAAATATCAACATTGGAAATAATATTTGCTGCTGCTGTTGAATAAATACATAACAGTACTGGTACTGGTTAAAAAATAAATAACAAACGAGTGCTTGCAACGAGGAGCATTACCATTAACTCTTATTACAGTTCAGTATAGGTTCATAACGACAAAAAAGCGAGACGGTGATATACATTTCATATAGCGCTGTCTCAGAACGATTCATTTTAGGTCCTAAACTGAATCGCAATATGAGTTCATGATAAAGTCCCAGTACTTATTTTAATTTTGGAACCTAACAGCCTCGTTTAAAATTATATGGCTAAATAAGGTTTAGGTAACCAATGATAATTCACTTAATATTATTTGAGCCTATTACAGATATCGGCATACATTTGCAGCAGAATTTGTTTATAGAAAAATTACAATCATTAGAAGAATTTACAATTAATAAAAATATTTACAATGTTGTAAAAAAAATCAGTTCACTAAACTTGTGGAATACCTGCATTCATTATACAGAAGTTTTAGTTTCAGGTATAATTAATGTGTCGAAAATCTAACCTGAACTTTCGAAAACAGGAAATATCTTGTAGCAAAGAGTCGAAATAATGAAATAAAATCTAATAATCAGAACCACGTCATAAAAAGGACAGGTCTATGGATTAAGACATTACAGAAATATAAACAGTAAAAGAGAAAGGAGATAAGTTGCTAAACAATAAACAAATAAATAATAAGATCCGGCAGTCGCACGCGCGGGAGAATTTGTCAACGCAATAATGAGTAGAGTTAATAACGCGTTCACAATGGTTAACGATCAACCGGCAATTTTCACATTACTACCATTCGAAGAGATACACAGCCATAACGTGCAGAAAACATAAAGACACTTCAATATAGTATAATCTTTAGTAGTAGATAATAATGGCGCAATGAGAGGTAATTCGATTAGAACCTAAGGTTGATGCAAAGCTTCAGTTTTGCTCTGGAATACATTATTCTTATCTCCGTAATAATGATGGATAACTTCTAAACCGAATAGCTATCAAACATAAAACCCAAATTACATTGTCATTATTAAAAAAATCACGTAAGAAATGTAATGCTCCGAGCCAATAACTCACAGTTCTCTAGAACCATATGTATCAAGTGTTAACGAAATACAAATATTAGTCAACATACGACAAATTAACCTAATGCCAAACGCAAGCGCAGCTTAAACTAAGTGCTTGGACAAAGCCACAGTTAGCGGATTATCATAAACTTACACTTTGTCCCATGTACCACATACGAAATACACTCCTTACACGAGACTTGGCGAACGGTTAATAGAATTAGGAGTATTTATGACAGTTAGGACTTAACAACTCGACTTTTGTTACAATTGACAAGTCAATAAATGATTATCGAAATGATAATCTGATAATTTGCAAACAAATGTTTAATATCAAGGGTGGTAAGTACTGTGTAAACAAAGTGTCAACCCAATGAACATAATTTAATTTTAACCGGAATTTAAGCTAGAAAGTAAAAAGGGTCCTTATTCGACATCTTCATAATATGTCGTTGAATGTGAGACCACTTTTGTCACGTAAAATTCGGGTTTACTGTTAACGTTCTTCGCTCTCATGAGCCATTGCCGTATCGTATATATAAATCGTAACTTGCAACACCAATATTATTATGCCTGCTTCATACTTCATAAAACATCAATAAAAGGATTCTATAGTCCATTTTACTAAAGCATAAGACACTATCGACCACCCATTCGTGGACATTTTTAAAGCGCATAACTTCGTATTACAGCCTCCGAACGTGTGACGCGAAGATTAAATCAGGTAGAAGGTCTCGTGAAATGTATCAACGTAGTGCAACTTTTGTGCCGTACGTGCGAAGAGGGAGTCCTGCAAGGTGCCACTATGGGGCCATTTTTATTCTTTTTATGTATTTTTTATGATGTAAATTTATTTTTGCCGGATGCTGTAACGGTTTTGTTATAGATTTACGGTTATTTGATTTGGAGTTTGTGTATTTTAGATTTTATTCACGGGTAAGACAAAATTTCGATATTGGGTGAATATAATCGCTTTTTAAATGACTTGAAATTCAATTTAAAATTAAAGGTTTGTATAATCGTGTCACCACGGGTGCGGTGATAAACCAGTAAAACAGTTTTAAATTTCCAGTAATAAATTAAATGGTTGTGTTCCGACCTGCACTCTGCTCTCGGTGAGTCCGATCCGCATAGCGATCTCTTCGCGCATGAAGATGTCGGGGTAATGCGTCTTGCTAAAGCACCGCTCTAGTTCATTCAGTTGCGCTGGCGTAAACCTGCATAATATCAAAATCATTTCATTTTTAGTTAGTAATTTAAGGGTTCCGATCATTGAAATGGATCGTATCACACAAAAGCATCCGTATTTATTATCTAATTCTCTAAAAAAAGCTCTCTTTTTAAAAAAGTATTAATGATAATAAAACTGATTTAATAACATATGGACATAAAGGAATACGTCTTCCAAAAACCAACTTTTTACTCGTAATACAAAAATGTTAGCAACCTACTTAGAAGAAGGTATAATGGCATGAAAGTACTATTAGCGAGTTGAAAAATCGTGATTTCAAAAATGCTTTTAGCCGAACAAGCATTATGGAAGTGCGAAATTTTTCCTCAGTGAGACGCGACGAGCGCTGACGAAACTTATAATTGTGGAATTGTTGTGGAATCTCGATATGAATCATTATTGTTTCAAACTCTTGTTATAAGTATAGTTTGTTTATCTACGTGTAGTAGTTATTATTTCAGTTCCACATATTTTTTCTTTACTTGTTAAAAATTTATGAATAAAATAAATACGATACGAGTATAATTATTTTCGTAAAACATTTACGCCGCAGTAACAGGGTAAATAGAATACCTATTGGGCAAAATTAAAAAATGCCAATTAGGTAGAATCTGTGAACTTAAATACGATTATTGTAACGTTCATGTAATTATAACCAACTTCGTTTAAAAGTAATGTTGAATGTCCTTATCGTTACTCTGCATTCTGGGGTCATCGCGCTTGGTATTTTTTTATAATGTTAAGTGACGGGACGAACAAGGAGTGCGCCTGATGATAAGCGACACGCCTGTCCATAACAGTTGCAGTGCCACTCAGAGCTTTAAATGGCAAATATCTGAGGGGCACTGCCACTGCGCCCGTCACCCTGAGACATATTGACAAGTCCCATGTGTCTGTAATTTCACCAACACCTTGCCCTTCAAAACCGGAACACAGTAATGCTGACATTACTGCTTGGCGGCAGAAATAGGTAAGGTGGCAGTACTTTCCTGAACGAACTCTTTCACAAGAAGGTACTGTCATTAAACTGGTACTCGTTGGAAGTTTCATTTCTTTTTTTTTAATTAGTTTTTTTTTTCAAACAAACCAACATTTTTTCAGACCCTTTACCGATCCCATAGCCACGGCAGGCAGCCGTGTACTATGTTAGTATACGAAAACTTAGTACCTGTAATCTGAAAATATTTAAATAATGTAACACTAAGTCTTTGTTAAGTTGTAGGTGCTGATAGTTAAAAATCCACATAAATAAATATATATAGACTATGTAGTGTGTTAAAGTCCCATTACCTAGTGCGATGCCTCTTCTGCTTTGCTGGCTTGTCGCTGTCGGATGCGGAGGAGGACATGCTGACTGGCACTGTGGACATGTGCCCACCGCCGCCGTGCTGCTGGTGGATACCACCTGCACAATCGATATTGGTGAGGCATGATCATTGTAGACAGCCTATAAAATTTTAATTTTAGTAACTTTTCAAGATGGCGAAAACATTTTTAACTAAGCCATGGAACAAACCAGCGGACTTGTTTGTCGGCTCTTTGTATTCAACCGGATCGAAGGAATTTTTTCTAAGTGTTCGATCTTTGTATTAATAATTAGAACAAACTAATGGAGTAACTTCACAAAAAATAATTGAATATCCATGCAATACAAATTGAAAACATTTTTGTTTCAACATGACATTTAAGGGGTTTAAGTGACGACAATTTAAAACAACCAACCTCAAGTCAGACAGCTGAGTTGCAAATATGTAGTAGACTTATAGCTTTTTTATCGCTAGTTTCACTGTCAAAAATGACCTTTTGTAGATTTGGTCAGGATTGGTAGAACAATGACACAACAGAAGTTACCTTGCAAATGCTCCGGTCGGACGTTGTGCGCCAGATGCAGCCGCGCGCCAAGCGCATGGTGCCGCTCGACGTTGGGTTTGATCTCGTGCGGCTTGCTGTCCTCCGAGCACGACTCTTTGTGACCTGCTGGCGAAATTGACAGTTCAAACATGCGAGAACTACAAAGCTCTTTGCCACTTCTTCGTCAAACGAAAGTTCCAATGTTCTTTCTCTTATTCTCCGTGGTTAATAGTCAAACTTCTGTTTCATCCGCGTGTTGATACTCGGAGGACGCTGCATTGATGAAAGCAACCCTTTTTGTTGCGGCCTTTGACGCCAGGTTGCTGTTATGGCTGGCCGACTGACTGACAGACGGACAGACAGGTTGGCGTTCTTTATTATTAAATGCTTCATTGCACAAAAACAGACAATAAGACACATGTAACAAAACGACATATATTAAGGTGAACTTATCTCTAGAAGAGATTTCTTCCAGTCAACCCTAGCCGTGGTAAAGAAAGAAAGTCCGCTAATTATTGATACATAAATACAATATACTGTGTGTTTTTTAATACAAGAAGACTGTGTTAGGAACCATTAAATCTTTTTTTGTGACAATAACTTTGGCGATAGTCAGTTTTTTAGTCAAGCCTGAGTTGTCTACAAAAAATTAATAAAATTGATTATTTTTTAGTGTCGTTGGACTCAGTGTCATATAAGGACTATTTCATTGTATTGGAAGATACAATGAAATCATCCTTATAAGAAACTGAGTTAATCAACATAACAAAAATTAGTCAATTTTATTCATTAAAAATTAGTCATTTTTAGTAACAGTGAGTTTAGTAGAGCTTGTGAGTTCGTCCGGGAAAGTACTGCCACCTTACCTATTTCTGCCGCCAAGTTGTAATGTGAACATTAACGGCTTTATTTTATTTTATTTTATTGTTTTATGAAAAACATACATAAATATTGTAAAGCACCTTTAAACCCTACTTGGGTTTGTCTTGATGCCATTCATTCCTTCTTTTACGAACGAACTAACACAAAATATTTCAAAAAATCTCAAAAGTAAGTAGACATTGTTTTTATCTTTATTTGGAGGTATGTACAACAAGTGAAGACGCAACGGCAAAGTATTCTATTAAAATGGTTTCAAAGTCAGTTTTCCTGTATCTCCTATGGTTTCGAATTTCCCCATAGGTAATGTACCTTTTAAAAAAACAGGCTGTATAGTACAATCTAAACAAATGATTACTTTATACATTATGTTACTGATTAACCGTCGAGTTCGACAGGAAATGCTCTTTCAATTTGCATTTAACTGATGCTACCGATGGACTGTCACGAACGCTGGCAGGCAATTTAATCGACATACGAGCTACACGTACGGCAAAATAATTGGGGAAAAATTTGTAGTTGGATTGGTGATGTAAAAGTGTTCTTGTGTCACAGTTTTGGCCGGGAAATGGAGAGTAAGAGAGTACAGAGTAAAGCTAGGGGTAGTGAATGATTTTGTAACGAAGACAAGGGATGCGCATATTTCTGCGAAATTGGATTGGGAGCCATTTTAAAATGACCGAAATTCATAGATATGGTCTGGGTATTTCGTAGATCGAATATGACTCGGATTGCCAGATTTCGCAGGCACTCCAGTTTGTTAAGCGGCTCCTCAGCAGCATTCAAATAATAAACGTCGGCATAGTCGACTAATAAAGACTGAGTGAGCATAACGTTGGTATTTGAACGACAATAAAATTGAAGACGCTTGAGAGAATTATAAGAAAAATGCATGGATAAAATATGTGGATAAAACAAATTCATGAAATCCAGGCACATCACAAAAATTCAAGTAGCAAGACGAGACATGACCTTGACGAATCATCTGTAAATCTAAACAACTATATCTTGAATAAAAGGACAATCTCATAGCTACTCGTGACTGACCCTGGTAGACGTTGCTGCCAATTTCTCGAATTTTCTCCTCAGGCTTTTAGATAACATCTATTTCATTTGTGCGCATTAGATAGCTTGATTTGAATGACACCTGTGTTCTATATAGAGTAAGACCGATGTTATAACCCTGCAGGAAGCCAGCGCAACGGAACATCGAACAATGTAATATTTTGTTCGCTAACTATACTTATCATCGTGATTCATAAGACGCTTTCCAGGAGATAGCCTTCTCGATACGGCCAAATCGGGCCACGTTAGAGGAAACCTAAAGCCCAGCAATGGGACGTATATTTATTGACACAGTAAACCTAAGAACTCTTCAATATAAGTGAAAATAGAATCAAACTTAAAGCCCATCGAAACTCGTCGCCGCGTCATTTGGCGGAAACTTTTCCTATTTGGTAAAGCGCTATCGAGTCTTCAAGCCTCAGGCTTGGCGACTGTGAGTGTTAATATTTGTGTTGTCGTCCTTGAAATACTTGGCAGGAGAAAACTTTAGAAGTGTAACGAATACACATTTCTGAATAGGAAACAAAACAATCAGAGTGACGTATAAACATAAGCAAATATTGTTCAAACGAAAAAATAAACTAAGTATATACACGAAACTTTTCAACATCACTACAAATACTTTTTATATATATTAAACGAAAGGTGGATTTATGCGTTTCTCAATTATTTACACAAATATTAGACTATCAATAAATATCTCGAGCTTGTGAAGTGTAACCAACATGAAATAAATGTTTTATAAATTAATTACGGAATAGTAAAATAATTTCATGCTGAAGATTTCGTTAAGGTTCGAGTTTGATTAAGGGGACGACCCCAGCCCAGCCCGGCTGGTTCGTTTCCAGCCACACCTAGAGGTGCCGGTGATGATTTTATACCAATTTATCGGATATCGAAGTTATAACAGGTAAAACAACTAATATTAATTGCTATTTCGGTAACTACTCTAGCAAACGGTGGTGTGGCAAAAGGTGGTGTGTCTACCTACATACGAATTAACATACGTGTCTGTGCAATCATTCTGCTAAAATTATAGAAACTATCAATTTCCTAAAAATAAGTGCAGCAGTGTAATAGTCAATACCACAAATATAGTCAATTATTGTTTGTGACAAAATCTATATGCAACAACAAGTCATATTCGGCGATAATTTATACGATTGGGACTGGTTGAATATCTGCCAAGTAAGTGGATTTTCTAATGATATAAAGTGAGTTTTGCTGTGATAATACGATTTGCCTACAACTAGTGGTACATTTAACACGAAATACTTATTTAATTTTAAATATTGTGTATTACAACCGTTGCTTGATGATTGAACTTTGAACACTACCAATGACGTGAAAATAACAACGCTACCACTATTTGCACCAATGACGTCATGTGTCATTTGGCTCAGCGGTTCAACGGTGAGACATCAGAACGAGTGCGCGAGACGAGACCGGGTTCAAACCCGAGCACTTGCTACTAAGTGACATCTAGCGACGATATATGCCTTAACGGACATTAAGCGACATCTAGCAACACGTAAATATACTAAAATAATTAATTAACAAAATCGGCAAAATCACGCCATCTAGCATCAAGTAGCAGTAAAACAATTCTACATTTGGAGAAAGATATCCTCACGACTAAATATACTACTATAATAACCGGAAATAATTATGAATATAAATCAAGATAAGAACATAGCATCGCTGTATTGTACTAAATGTGATAATGAAATATGCAAAAGAGATTTTCTGTGCTGTGAAGTATGTAAGCAATACTATCATTTAGATTGCACCGATGTGTCGTTCCAGCTTTTCAAGATAATGAAATCGAAAACTTTCAGGTGTCAGCCGTGTATAAACTCACCTAACTATCTTTCTCACAGCACTCCAGTTAGCCATCACCTCGCAGACAATGTTACACAACGTAAGAAACCAAACGTTCAATGTAATTTACCCATCAATAACTCATTTGAATTATTGTCAGACCATGAAGAGGAAGACCAAGAGATTACATCAAAGATGTCCACTACATACTCTTATTCCTCATTACCCAATGTGTCTATAACACAGCGCAAAAATACAAGCTGTCCCGCTCTACAACTGAACAGTGATATAATAGAGGATTTGAAAGAAAAAATTAGGTCGTTGGAGACAAAACTAGAGATAACGGAAAACGAACTGGAGAATCAATTGTCGGAAAATCATATTTTAGGTAAAAAAATATTAGAATATGAGCATAAAGTCGCAAAACTATCTCACATTTGCCAATCAACACACAAGTCAAACTGTAATAGCACTAGATCCAAACAGAAAATCTACAACAAAACTAGACTTGACTTATCACGAACAAGCACATATCAACGAAAGACCCGAGTGGAAACCAGTTTTGGGCCCGATCACATAGAGGAAAACAGAGACAAGAGCCTGACAAGCTTCCAGATTTTTAATAACTCACCGTTGCATGTCAATAGTGACTCTGAAAAAAAGGAAACCAATGCATTAACTACGAGTCCAATTAAGGCCAATATTTGTGTTCTCAGCTCTAATGGATACAACAAAACCCTCTCTACATTGGATGACATGCTAAGCGAACACTTTCACATCATACATTACCTTAAAACAAATTGTGGAATAAAAGAACTCCTACACGGTATTGAAACTAAGGTCGTTAACTATACCTACAGGGACTATTGCATTGTGTTCATCGGCGATTACGATTTTACAAGCTCCAAAGACTACTTTGAATTGACCAACTATATCAAGAATGCCTTACAGAAAATTCAGCATACCAATGTCATATTATGTTTACCAACTTATAGACTTAATAAACATATTTTCAATGGACGAGTGGAGAGTTTCAGCAACATGTTGTACTGGGATTCGGTGATACACGAGTATGCGTACCTACTCGACACCAACTTAAACTTGCATTATAGTCGTCACATGTATCGCGGCCATACTGGTATCATTAAAACGAATGCTCTGCGAATTATCTCTAAAGATCTAAAGCGCATGATTCTACATATCAAGAAATACCATATATCACTTCCGTGTGGCAATCCAAATTGCAATGATGACACATTTTTTCGTCGAGATTTTTTAGAAAGCCCAACCTACGGCAAAGACGCAAAGTAAAGAAGTACAAAGTCGCCATTCTTTATCAGAATGTACGAGGGTTAAAATCC